TTTTTGTGCTTGAATTCTGTCATCCAGTATCCAGCTTAAATTCTGGTTTTATTTCTCAACTGTCTTATTTAATGTTTTGGTTAACTAATTTTTCTTAATGTATAGGATGGACATTTTGACCTGGAGAACTTCAACAAGGGACCAAGCATGCCTTCATCACCTGGTGACACTCATTGTGCAGCAGTTTCTGCTTCCACATGGGTTGAACCTCATGGAAAGTGCACTGTTGCATTTGCTGTCTCTTGGTCATCCCCTAAAGTTAAATTTTGCAAGGGGAAGTCATATCACAGGTAGTTTATGACTTTGCAGTTTTCTGATATTTACATCTGTTATGGTCCCGGTTAACCGTTCAGTTAGTTTTATTTTATATGCATGCTTGTCTATACATGTCTAGAAGTATGTCACGTTTATGTATTCGGTTTAGATATGCTGAACCGGTTTGGTTTTTCGGTTTGCTATTCTGGCATATTGAAGCTATTATGATTAAACTGTAGGGACTTGGAAATAGAAAATGGTGTGTGTTGTAAGTTACAGTCTCATGCAGCAAATCCAGTGAAATAGAGTCCTCTTTTAGTCTTTTTTATTTGTTATCTGGTTTTTGCTCATTCAGAAAGCCTGATATATAATACAATTTTGAGTTGTTTCACCCTCTTTCCTTTCCTCTTTCCGTTATAATCATGGAGATTGATTTTATGATTTAATAAACCTCACCAGGTCTTTTTTCTTGCCATTCCTTTTTTACCCTTTGGAAACTCAGGAGGTACACAAAATACTATGGAACTTCTAAGATGGCGGCAAAGGAATTAGTGCACGATTCACTTACCAGTGAGTGATTTTTTCTCTTGCTTTTTTTCATATTCTCGCATGTACTATCTTAACGTTCTTGGATAGTTGTATATTTTCTATATTCGTTCACTTTCTTGGAGATCATCAAAGCTGCTATTTGATGTGCTGTCGTAATCAATGTGTTTGCTGCATCTGTATCAGATTATAAGTTTTGGGAGGAAGAGATTGAAAAATGGCAGAACCCTATTCTTAAAGATGATCGACTGCCCGAATGGTAAGCAACAATGAACTCTGTTTGTTCCATCACACCCCATTTGAATTTTGCAAATTAAGATGCTATTATGATATTTCGAGTCTGTTTTCAGTCTTCACGTGCAAAGGATCTTGTCATCTTCCTAGTATATGCTTCGTATCATAATTTCACATGGAAAATGTACAGATTTTTTTTTTTTTTTTTTTTTTTTTTTTTTTTTTTAATTGGAAAGCTTTAACCACGATAAAATTATCCTCGTGGCTTGTTGTTTGATCTCAAGTAGAATGCTCAAATCCATGTTGACATGCAGGTACAAATTTACCCTGTTCAATGAGCTCTACTTTCTAGTGGCAGGGGGAACTGTTTGGATCGGTAGTACTTATTTACCTTTAACTCCTCCTTTCCATTTTTCGTTTCTTTGTAGATTTGTTTGAACTAAATACGTGTTTGTAATAGAATCAGCTTTGTGCTTTTGCTTCCAAGACGGGGTTTATTCTTTGCATTCTTAAGCTATTGAATCTATATTTCTTTGCCGATCTCTAGATTGTATATTCTTTTTTAATTGTTCTTTTGTTCCGTTATTTTGGTTGTTTGATCTCACTTGCCTCTGAATAACTGGGATCTGGAAATATAAGTAACACTACAATAACGACCGGTATAAAAATTTAACACAAGAAGTCAAGAATCGTGTATCACAGTAACTGGGCCTTTATGTGTGTGGTATCTTTTATTTTGGAGCATATATGGAACTATTTGTATTATATTATATTATGTGCAAGCAAGACTACTCTCACGAAATGATGAAATATGGATTGGTATAGTGCTGTACTGAAAAACAATATGCAAAAAGTTTTATACTACAGGCTTCGATGATTTCTGTGTTTTTTAAGATCAACATTGCAAGTGTTTATAGATTGATTTAATGTCTACGTTGGGACGCATGGTCTGAATGTTGATGCAATTATTTTTGGTGTATCTACTGACAAATACCTCATTAGTCATTTCCTTTAACTGTTGCTCCACTAGCGTGCTTATAATAATGTACTCTTGGTAATTTTATTCAGAATCCGCAGCACCAGCCGAAGATTCGAATGGTCTCACGTCAATAATTACAGACAACAAAATATTTGAAAAAAATGAAGCAGGAATTGTCCACAGATTATCTATGACCGTAAAAGATGACACAATCAATGGCGCAGATTCTTGTGGAAGCTTTTCGGACAAAGAAGATCATGTGTTGACTCAGAACGACAATGACGTAGGCAGGTTCTTGTATTTAGAGGGCGTGGAGTACATCATGTGGTGCACATATGACGTGCATTTTTACGCATCATTTGCACTTCTTCAACTGTTCCCGAAAATCGAGCTTAGCATCCAGCGTGAATTCGCAAAGGCCGTGTTGTCAGAGGACACACGAAAAGTAAAATTTCTAGCCGAAGGCAACTGTGGAATCCGCAAGGTGAAGGGAGCCGTACCTCATGACCTTGGAACCCACGATCCGTGGCACGAGATGAACGCTTACAACATACATGACACCAGCCGCTGGAAGGATCTCAACCCAAAATTCGTCCTGCAGGTGAAAAATAAAATAAAATAAAATAATCCGGATGAGTAATGAGTTGAGTTTAAAACTACTTTCAATTTTAGATGACAATTAAGATGGTATATATTTTCAATCAAAACATTTAGGTTTATCGAGATTTTGCTGCTACCGGTGATTATTCGTTCGGGGCCGAGGTGTGGCCTTCGGTTCGTGCGGCCATGGAGTACATGGAGCAGTTCGACCGTGACAACGATGGAATGATCGAAAACGATGGTTTTCCCGACCAAACTTACGACACGTGGACTGTCCACGGCATAAGTGCCTACTGCGGGACCCTTTGGCTAGCAGCCCTCCAGGCAGCTGCCACGATGGGCTTCCAGCTGGGTGACGAGGCGTTTGCCGATAAATGCAGGGGCAAATTCGTAAAAGCAAAGGCGGTTTTGGAGGAGAAGCTGTGGAACGGGTCGTACTTCAACTACGACAGCGGGTCGAGCAGCAACAGCAAGTCGATCCAGGCGGACCAGCTGGCTGGGCAGTGGTACATGGCGGCCTCGGGTCTGCCTGACCTGTTCTCAGAGCACAAGATACGGAGCGCTCTGAACAAGGTTTACGAATTCAACGTGATGAAGGTGAGAGGGGGAAGGATGGGGGCAGTGAACGGGATGCACCCAAACGGGAAGGTGGATGAGACGTGCATGCAGTCCAGGGAGATATGGACAGGTGTCACTTACGGGGCAGCTGCAGCCATGATTCATGCTGGGATGAGGGAACAGGGTTTTGCAACGGCACAAGGGATATTTATTGCGGGATGGTCGGAGGAGGGATTTGGATATGCGTTTCAAACACCGGAAGGATGGACAATGGACGGTCACTTCCGGTCACTCATATATATGAGGCCACTTGCTATATGGGGTATGCAGTGGGCTTTATCGTCCTCCAAAAAAACCCTTCTTGAACCTCCCAACATAAACATCATGGACAGGACGGCTGCATCATCGTATTCATCCCCCAACACTCCAAATCACGTTAGCAAGAAGATAGCAAACAACACAAAAAGGTGCTTCGGCAACCCGGTTTTCCACTGTTCATGCTAATCCCACTGTATGTGTTCATTCTTGTGTTTGTAAAGTTGAATTCGAGTTCGAAGCGTGCTAGTCGATAAATATACACGGTGATGGTGGTATCATCGAATAAGTTCGTCACGGGATATTTTAGAGATCCGAGGGTAGATTATGAGTAAGATTAATATAGAGAGAAATCTCTCCGATCAAGTAACGACTTCTATGACTCACACTCGGACAAGAGAGAGACAATACTATATTAGATGTGTTCCATGTTTGCATGTTTGCATTATCCTTGTACGTACGTTGACATCTCTATATTTATTATATATGCAAGTTTTAAGTAATAATAACAATTTTTTTTCTCGCAAAGCTTTTGGCTATACTTAGAAATTCTCTTCTATATTTGATTAATTTCAACTTTCATTTTCTTTTATTTTTCTGCTATTTATCGTTGTGCAATTGGTTATGGACTCACGGTTAGTGCAATATTTAGGGGGAAAAACTGTAATATCTGCTTCAGTTATCACTTTATTGATAAATGTCTAGTGCAATTTCTTCTAATATCTTGTACTTTCTCTTTACTAGTAGTAAGCACATGGTTCGTATATGTGGTTATTTTAAATTATATTATACTTAGATTTACACGATTTATTTATTTATTTTCGACATTATTATGTTGAATTAATCAAACTAGACAAGTACATTAATATTGAAGTGCGTAATGTATTAAAAATTGAAAATAAGTTTTAAATAATGTTAATATCTTAAAGTGATTATTATAAAAAGAGTAACATGAAAATTTGCCAGAAACTGTCAACTAACTGTTTGGCAAAATATTAATCATTTGATTACTTAGCGTCATTTTAATTTGGAGTTCGAAATTCCATCTCATATGGAGTGTTCCCAATCGATTTTTTTACCCGAACAAAAAAAATAATAATAAATAAAAAAATAATGTGGACAAAAAAAAGGTGTGGACAAAAATAAAGAGGGCGAAAACGTATTCTCGTAATACGTTTTAATGTCAATTAAATTAATCACGTAATTAAGTTAATTAAATGAAATTAAAACGTATTTCAAAAATATGTTTTATAAAAAAATTAATTTTGTAATTAATTTATTGCAGAAAATAAATTTAAAACGGATTTCCAAAATTCGTTTTATAAATAAAATTAATTTTTGCAAATTCTTATTGCCGTAATTATTTTTTTTTTTAAAAAAAACGTATTTTCGAATTACCTTTTTTATTTGTCCTAATTTTGTCCCAAAATCAATTTTGCCCTAAAATCAATTTTGCAATAAAACGTATTTCCGAAAATACGTTTTATTGCAAAAATTGATTTTAGGGCAGAGCAAAAATAAAATGTTTTGTGTTTGCCCTGTCCTGCCCTAAAATCAATTTTGCAATAAAACGTATTTTCGAAATACGTTTTGTGTTTGCCCTATTTTTATGTTTGCTCTAACCCGTATTCCCAGAATACGTTTTATAAAAAAAATAAATATAAAAACGTATTTTGGGAATACGTTTTACTGTGCAGAAACAATAACTATGCAGAAAAGATAAAAAGAAACACACACCTGTTTGTCGGGATCGATTCAACAACCAAATATTAATTCCACAAACTAATATCAATCCATTTGTCAAATAATAATCTAACATACATACAAAATTCAACCACAATAATTTATTCAAAATACAAATATGTCCAAATATCAGTACCCAGAATCCAAAAAAAAAAATGTCCACAGATTCTCTGAATACAACACAAACTAACTTGGAGTGTATGGATCCCTAGGTTTGCGCTGTCGGGAGCCCATCCGACACCATGGTGGTCATGAAGAAGACGAGGTTGTGGGCTTGACAGCTTCTTCTTCTTCTTCTTCACCTGAGTAATTCATTTTGTTTAAAAAATCAGAAATTCGACTTGACAAAATATAAATAAAAAATCATATTTTTGTTAAGTAAAAAATTCTCACATTCTTCTTCTTCCTCAGGCCCGGAGTTGGCAGCGGGTTCGCGGGCACGGCTTCTTCTATCTCAACCAATGTGGGCAGCAGGTTGATGCATCGCCCTATGCGACTGCGTCCTTTGGGATCGAACGTAGCTCTCTTGAGATAGAACTTGACTCGACGACGTCCCTTGCGTGACCTCTTGGCCTCCAACAGTCAGAGAAGTGTAGAGAAGATTTTGGGACTGTCTGATTGCGGCCTGCGCCTGTGGAGGGAGTGCATGAAATATGCATTCAAGACTCGCTAACGAGTTAAAAGCCCCCCCTCCATGGCTTGAGCCTTAAAATTGAATTCAAAGTATAGTATGAAACACAATAATAATAATAATAATAATAATAATAATAATAATAATAATAATAATAATAATAATAATAATAATAATAATAATAATAATAATAATAATAATAATAATTGAAAAAAGAACCACAAATTATGAACACTTACATCGCACTTCTCCTGCTCGACAAGTGGCTGATAGCAGCCGTCTTGTTGCACCACTGTGTACTTGGCAGGGTCACTGATGAGTCTCACATTCTTTTTGTGAAACCAATCAATGTAACCCGCCTCAGGCTGTAGGAAGTGATCCACATGTTGATATGGGAGGACATTTTGGTCTCTTTTTTCGGCTCAATCCTTCCCAAGTTCCGAATGAAAGGCGGCCCAATCATTGAATGCCCTCCCAGTCATTCTATGGCCTCTGTGGTGTGTCTCCCATTCGGCCTCACTCCTAATGATTGAAGTTTAGGATGAGGACCCTATCAGGCATGTGGGGTTCACGGATGTTCCAACAGAAGATCCACCCCCTATACATCCAGAGACGTGAACCTTCTGTACATTGGGCCAGGAGAGTACCAACATCCAGGTACTGGTCATACGGCACCCAATCGAACTGTAAAAAAAAAAAATAGGAATTAAGTTATAAAAAAACAAATATAAATTATCAATAGGACTTAATAATAATCTTACATCAGTCTCTCTCAGCCTTGTCAATTGATCCTGGACAGTGGCTGTTCCCTTGCCTATGTGTTTCGTGTCTCTCCGTCCCACCCACCTTAAAAATCACAGAAAAAAAAACACTTAGTTATCACAAAATTTGCTAATGGAAATAACCTAAGTACTAAATATAAATAAATGTGATTACCTTGCACCTAAGGGACAACCAGTGACAGAATCAAAGTTCGTCAACCTCATTTTTGGGCGAAGACGAGGGATACGTTATCATGCCCAAACCTACACACATCGACATATGCATTTGTTATTAGATATTAGTCTAAATTAGAATAAAAAATAAATTTTCAAATAACAAGTAAATAAATGTACCTGAATCAATTGGACACAACTCTTGATCCATTCTTCCTCGACCTTTTAGTTTGTGCACAGCGGTCTATACACTCCGGCTAGGACCGCCGAATCCCAACTGTACCTCATCGATGTCATGCAACAGCTGCAACCAGTACAGGTTAACTCCACTGGCCCTCTAGTCGGGGAAGAAGAAGGATCCAATGCACCAGTGTATGCCCTCGCCCTCTGTTCTTAGACGTGAGTTTGTTCTCCATCTTGTAGCTCTATGGTGCACTCCTCTTCTAATCCCGAGTTCTTCAAAAACTTACCTTTAATGCCACAAGTTTTGGGGTTGTACTCCGGGCCCCCTTCAGCCTGAGAGTTGTTTATATATATTAAAAACGAATTAATGGAGTATACATAAACAAAATAATAATAAAAAAAATTGTAGGAAATAAATTACCTGGACATAGGGCTCGAACCGTAGCAAATCCATACACGCGTCTCACCATTGTAGAGGTGTAAAATCTACAGTCTCTCCCCAACAAGGTGCGCCATTGACCAGGAGACCGAATAGTACTTGTACGTCCTAGAGCGTGATCGTGGCCTCCCCGACATCAAAGTGGAAGGTATGCGTCTCCGGTCGCCACCTTTCCACCAGACAGGTAATGAGGTTGTTGTCGGTCTGGACTCTGTCCA